TCGTTCGGGGCGCCCGGCCACTGTGCCAGATGCAGGCCCCACGCCCTCAGGCCCTGCAGTTCTCCTTCGCCTGGTCGGCCCCGCTCCGAGGATCGAGCGAAGGAGGAGAGGGGACCCCACTGGCCCTCACCCGCACACTGAATGTAGAAAGAACTGGTCCCTGTGAGCAGAAGGTGGAGTTGAAAACACGTAGGCAAACCTTAGCGGGGACACATTCGTCTTTATTGCAGGAAAAAAAGTGATTTTGGACCTGGGGCTCAGAACTGCCTGCTGAGGAGGGGTGCGCAGGGGCCGTAAGGCTGGGAATATCTATCAATAGGGCGAGGCTTTACTGCCTCTCCTGGAAGCTTCCCTCGGTGACACTCAGATGAGTTTTAAAGAGTGGCTTTAAAGCGGCGAAGGGGCCCATCCTCTCCTAAGACTGGGATGGGGCGTAGACAGGTTACGGGGGGCTGGGCTGCCTGCACTGGCATTAGCTGTTGAGGGAACCAACCACTGGGCCACACACATGACCACGTCATTGCAGGAGCAGAGGCACATGCCCCAGTCGCTGTCCCCTAATTTGGGTACACTATGATTGGGGTCCTCCACAAGGCGGAGTCGTAGCTGTCAGAAGTCCCTGTACTGGGGCTGTTTTCAGGCACCTGAATCCTGGTGGCTCCACTCCAAAGCGACATCCCATCTGACCCGCCCACCCCACCCTCCTGCCCCTCCTCTCCTGGCTACTTTGTCCTACGGTCAAGGTGGGAAGACACCAGCACCCCAGTCCCAGCAGCATTGCTTGTTTAGGGGCCTCTAGGGCACCCCTGTCCCTACGTCCCGACTTCTGCCAAGATCTGCTGCTCCTCTTGCCTCTGTCCCCTCCTCTACCCACTGCCACCGCCCAGGGTCCCCTGTCTTCTTGCCAAGGCATCCTGAAGCCTGACAGATCTTTCCGGAATGTCCATCTGATCCTGGCATACCCTTCTTTGTCCGGTCAAGTCCCTGGTATCACATGGGATGAGTCCAAGCTCCTTGGCCTGGCTCCCAGCCCCTCCTCGCTCTCCAGCCTCATCCACTCCCCCAGGGGCCTCATTCCTGACTGCTCCCTGACCCTCTGCTCACCTCTGCCACCTCTTCCTCTCTCTTCACCTCTAAACTCCCATCAGGGCACCCTGACAGAGGCTGTGTCCTGCCCCCCCCACCACCTTCATGAGTGTGTTCCCCACGGACATTCCTTGTTCATCTATCAGCCACCTCACTCCCACTGCTGCCCAGGGGTGTGGGGTCTCCCTGCATCCACAGGGCCCCGGGCCCGGGTCTAACTTGGAGCCAGCCAGCATTTCAAGTCAGTGAACTAAGTGTTGGTGTGGCTCTGGAACCCCAGAATGCCCCCAGAGCATTCACTGCGACTTCCAGTCATTTATTCTGGAACTTTCTGAATAGATATGGAGTCCATCCTGCCAGTCAACATGGCTCCAGGCCTGACCAGGGGTCTCAGTGTCTGTGAGTGGGAGGAAGTGGACAGCCTGGGGCAGTGTGCGACCTTTTTATTAGGCCCCTCTGTGTTGGAGGCAGTGTGAGGAACAGTCTTAAGTGGTGAAAAATTCAAAACTTCAGCCAGCACACAGCTCATGCACGCATAAAGTGCCTCCCTGTGCTCGCATGTGAGGTTTAGGTTCACCCTGCATGCAAGGCCTGATGTGGACGTGCCCAGCCAGAACAGCAGGGCAGCTGGGAGCCCGCAGTCCCTCGTCACCATGGGAAGTCGGGGACAGAGCTGGAATTCGGGATCTGTGCTGGTCACTCACCGAGCCACCCTCCCGACAACCTGCAGGCCGCTCCTGGCCCGCCTCTGCTGGAGGGTGCAGAGGCCTCCCGCCCAGAGGGAGGGTGGCCTGTGCTGCCACCTTCAACGTCGCCTCCGTCCTGGGAGCGGGCTGAGGAGAGAACTGGCCCCTGCAGGGGAGCCCACGTGGGAGTGGGGTGCATTCATACCTGGTTCCTGATCCCATTACATTTGTGTATCAGCCTGGCCCCGCTCCCCAGGATGCTGGGGTCTGCAAAGGAGGGGAGGGGAGGTGGCGAACATGGGGTCAGGCCCTCTCCTTGGGCCTGGAGTCCTGTGTGACGGCCGATGGGGGACAGGAAAGAAAGCGAACCCCGCCTTGCTGGGCGGGGTGTACGTATGGGTCCCTTCCTGCTCTCTGGGCATGAAAAGCAGAGATCCAAATTTGCTTACTAGCAACATCTACAGGCTTGTTTTCTCTAGCACCCCTCTCCTCTGGGCTGGCGACCCTCACCCGCCTGTCCCCGACGTGTCAGCTCTAATGCCATGCCCTTCTCCTTGCAGCTGAAGCCCATTATCTCTGACCCCGAGTACCTGCTGGACCAGCACATCCTCATTAGTGTGAAGTCCTCCGACAGCGACGAATCCTACGGTAAGGGTCCCAGGGCGGGCGGCACGCGTGCCATTAGCTGATGGCCCCTGATGTTAGGGAGCTGGTGGTCTCTCTGTCACAGAAAGCCCACCTGCCGCGCCCCATCCTACTATCCTGACACTCCTTTGCCCGTCCCAGAGCTGCCAGGGGGTCAGGTACCGGTGAGTCACTCTTCTCGCCTCGTTGGGCTTCTGGGAGTACCGGCCAGCAGCCACAGCCCCCCCCTTTTGTGGAGGCTTTCCTGTGTCGGATTCTGTGCCAGGAGCTTTGCAGGCACTTTTCGATTTAATTCTGACAAGACCTCATGAAACAGACACTATTCTGCCGATGAGTCAATAGTAAACTGGGGCTCAGAGAGGTTAAGTGACTTGCCCTGGCTGAACCTTTATTTAAACTCAGGTCATCCCAGCATCGCTCAATGCTCAGGCCTGTGTCCCCACCAACTGTCCTACTAGAGAGAGACCATTTTTTGTAACATCTTCAGCCTGTCCAGGGCTCTAGCCCCATGTCAGTTTTGCCCTCGCACTTGGTACATTCAGTGTGGCTGGAGCACGGAGTGAGAGGGGCAGGTGGCCAGAGACAGGCTGGGGGCTGGAGCCAGGTCAAGCAGCTCCCTCTAAGCTGGGCTCGGGGTAAATACCTCATGCTGGGGGCAGCAGGGAGCCACTGAAGAGTCTGGTGAGACAAACGGTAATGTGATCAGCTTTCCATCTTAGAAATACAGTTTGCAGCGATCAAGATGAGAGATGAGGGGCTAGCGAGGAAACAGAGACAGTGAAAATGGAGAGATGGGACTGAATCGAGGGGGCCGAGAAGGGAAACGGGCCATGGGAACAGGGGAACGCGGGAGTCGAGGGTGCCCCTGCACTTCTGACTTGATGTTTCATTTGGTGATCTGGTGAGGCGCAGGCACATGGGGTGACAAGGCATAGCCAGCGTGGCGGCAGAGTCAGAGGCTGTGGCACGGGGACACCATCAGAGCTGGGTCGAAAGAGGGGCACACTTATGACAGGAAATGTGGCCAAGAGATCCAACAAAATACAGACCAAACAGTGTCTCTTAGACAGTGACCCGGGGACCATCCACGGACCTGGTGAGACAGTGTTCGCAGGCAGTTAGGATGTCAATGGGGCTGAGGAGGCAGAGGGCGTGAGGCAGACAGGAAGTAAACGCGGGTCCGTGGAGGGCGTTTGTTTTCAATGGAAGAAATCCAAAGATGCTTAATGCTGGTGGCGGAAGCCAGGACATAGAGGCACAGACACAAAGGGTGCACGGTAGGTGACTGAAACGCGCGGTGCAATCCCGACCCTCGTTGCAGAGGTGAGGAAATGAACCGACTTGTTCAGGGTCGGGCAGCCACTGAGTGGCTTTGACAAGCTACTGTATGACCTTGGACTTGAACTTAGGCAGCCCAGCTCCAGAATCGTGCCCTTCACCCTCACCCAGCACAATACTGGAGAGACGGGCGAGGGCAGGCAGACCTGAGGGGGCGTGCTGGCCCCGGATCTGGCTCTCCTGTCCGCCGTGACGGGGCAACGGGAATGGATCCGTGTGGACACAGGGATATCTGAAGGTTTGGTGGCAGGAAAACAGGAACTCGGGTCTGATGTTCCATTTTCTTGATCCAATATTCCTGATCGAATACTATATTCCGCCTTTGTTTCTTCCTCTTGGTATTCAAACTTGAAACAACATGTCGTAATAATAACAAGGAAAAAAAATCCACGGGCGGACTCGTTCCCCCGTACAGCGATTGTTGTTATTTGGTTCCACACGTCCATCCTCGTACACAGGCATACGTAGATTTCTGCATTTCTCATTGTCACAGAGAGATCATTGTTGATTCTACCTTCCTCACCTAGAATCATGAAGTATACAGCCTTCCCGACCATCGCTTTTCCAAACTTCATAATATTCCACGGGTTTACTGCATCTTCATTTTTTAAAGCATTCTTTATTATGATTATTGAGGCTCTGTCAGTTATTTTTGTTAGTGTCATCGATAATGCAGAGATGGATCTCTTTGGGGACATTTTTTATTCTTTCGGATCACCTCTTTAGGGCGCGTTCCCATGTTTGCTGGGTCAAAGGGTATAAATACATCTGTGATTCTCGGCCCTTGTTATCAGACTGCCACAAAGGCTATCTTGTATGTCGACCTTTCCACGTCGAGTGTACAGGTTTCCCCAGATCTTTGCTGCTGTTGGGTATTCTTTTTCTTCTATTTTCTGCTAAGTTCATATCCGTGAGTGAATCCCTGAGTACTGCCTTTGTTTGCGTTTCTGATGGCGTGCAAGGCTGAATGAGTTTCCATTTATTGAAATTAACCAGCGACGATTCTTTTTGTGTGAAATGACTGTTGGGGTTATCTGCCCATTTCTCTGCTGGGGATTTGATTTTGAGGAGTTCCTTGTGAATTCAGGTAAAATGCCCACTTCGTGAAGCTGCACCGAATGGTCCCAGTCAATCTCCTTTTCATTTTTGCTTTTTTCTTTGTGTAGAAGTTTTAAACTTTTATATCCTCTCATCTGTCAGTCCTATTTTGTCGTTTCTTCCATGGCTTCAAATCTTGGAAAGTTGCCATTCCCTCTAGCCTTCGGATTAGTGTTTAATTCTGTTTTTCTGCTAGATTTTCTAAGATTTAATTTTTTTCACATTGACTCATCTATGTAGAGTTCATTTGCTATAAATTTTGAGATGCTTTCCCCAGATGGCTGAGGAGTTATTCTGAAAGTTTCATCCAATGATCCCCGCCTTGGCCATTATTTTAAAGGACCATCTTCAGGCGGCAGAGCTAAATCTCCAGGTAGAATTTGCGGTGTTTGTCCTGTGAAATGGCGGGGTCTTGACGTGACTGTTGTCCCCTCCACATCCCCAGGTGAGGGCTGCATTGCTCTGCGGTTAGAGGCCACGGAAACTCAGCTCCCCATCTACACGCCTCTCACCCACCATGGAGAGATGACGGGTCACTTCCGGGGTGAGATCAAGCTGCAGACCTCCCAGGGCAAGAAGAGGGAGAAGCTCTACGGTAAGTGGGCGGGACCCCCCTGCACCCTCTTCAGCGCTGTGGGGTTAGGAGCAAGGATGAGAGTCCTCTCAGCAAAGCTAATGAATATTCTGAGTGGCAGGCATCATCCTTGCTTGGTAGCTGGATAAACTGAGGCGCAGAGAGGTTGAGTGATTGGCTAAAGGTCATGTACCTAGTCAGAAGCTAGCCCAAGGTGAGAACGCAGGTTCACCGAGTGCTCAGCTGGAATTCGTAAATGTGATGGGTCCTGCCTCTCACGTGAAGAGCAAGATAGCAGATCTCACTACATGTGGGCAGCCCGGCACCCTCTGCTCCTGGGCGGGCACCAGGCCATCCCGACTGCCACCTCCCGGGGGTGTGGCTCCCCTCCTGTCCTGTGGGAGCTCCTTTCTCTGGCAGGATGTGGGTTGGAATGAGGGGGCCTCAGCACCTTTGCAACCAGAAGCCAAAGTCAGCATTGTAGACGGGGTCCCCGCAGCCATTTAAGCCCAGAAAGAGGTTGGCTTTGGTACTGAATGCTCCGGTACTTTGTTATGTTTGTTTTATTCGGATCTGCCAAGAAAAAATTGTCCGTTTGGTCCCTTACCAACAACAAGTTGGAAATGTCGCATAAAATGCCCGCATGAAATTCTCTGGGTCATACGTGCCTACTCTCCTCCCTCACGCATAACTGACTAATCCCTGAACTTGTGCGAGGCCTCGGATCTTGTTAACCCCGCCTCCCCAGCAGCTGTGACTCACTGTCCGGCTCCGCCATGCCACTGGGAACCTCTCTGCCATCCGGGCTCTGTGTGCTGGGCACTCACATGCTCTTTCCCGGCCCGGTCCTTGCAGACTTTGTGAAGACCGAGCGTGACGAGTCCAGTGGGCCCAAGTCCCTGAAGACCCTCACCAGCCACGACCCCGCGAAGCAGTGGGAACCTGCCAACAGGTAGAGCAGGGTGTTGCCGGCTGTCACGGCACACTGGCTGGCTTTGCAGACCCGGGCCCCCGGGGAGGGTCCGTGGAGCGAGGACCTGGACGGACAGGAAGCTTGGCCAGGAGAGGCGCCGTCCTCTGAGGCTTCTGACCACAAACCCTGGGGTCGGGGGCCATTGGTGTGACTGTGACAAGGCCTGGGAGACTCTTCCTTTGTGTTGGAGACTTTGGTTCCGGTCAACAAACATGGGTTGAGCACCTACTGTGTGTCCGGTTTTAGAGAAACCAAGGCAAATTAGGTGCAGTCCCTGACTTAGCAGCTCAGCCTAGGTGAGAGATGCCCAGTCCAGGGGGACCCACCTACAGAGGTGACTGCATGGGACGGTTGCCGTGTCTCTGTGGATGGGACTTTGTGGCCACCAAACACCATCCTGTTACTTAAGAGGAAAAATCATTGTGGGAAATGTACACAAGCTGCTCTTGGCAGAGACTGGATCGGGAATAATCTGGACATTGTAAGAACCTACATTCCTAGGCGACGGCAGTCCCCAATAACAAGGCACTTCAGCTCGCCAATATGGTCTCGAGTCCCAGCATCCAGCCACCGAGGGCTGTGACAGTCTCTGTGCCAGCTTGCCTGCTACGGGGACAAAGCTGTGCCAGTCAGCGAGTGAAATTCCAAAAGCCGCTGCAGAGCCCAGCTCTCTCCTCTCCCCCGTTTCGCTCCCCACGCCCCTGTCCATTCAGCCGTCGCCCGCAGGCCCGCCTCCCCCGGGACACAGGAACTCCCATCTCCAGCCCGCTCCCTCCTCCAGCTTCTGCCGGTTACAGCTGCGGGCACTAGTGTCCCCTCTTGATCCTTCTTCCCAATATTACGCAGTTAATGAAAGCATCGTAAGGCTCCAGATTCAGGATCAGTGTGGCTCTACGAATTATTTTCCACTTGACTAGTATTCAAATTAGTATTTCTGAAGCAGGCATTGCTGGATAGGAGTGAGATACGCATACGCTCAGAAGCAGGCTGGCTGAGCAGGTGGGAGCTGGGAGGCTGCGGTATATCACCTGTACAGTCAGATCTCTGCTAGTCAGTGCTCATGAGAGCACCGTCTCACAACAGACTGAGACAGCACAAGGTGTGTGTCTCGGGGTCACCTCACTCGGGTCTGGGCCATCCCCTCGACTCCCCCACATTCGAAGCTCCAGCCTTGACCTGTGACCTCCACACTCATCCCTAAATGCCCACGTGGCCATGTCTATCCTGATGTCGGCTGACTTGTTGCCGCTGGAACTCTCCATCCTCCCCTCAGACGCCAGCCTCCCAGCCTCCCATTCCAACCTCCCCACTTGCTTGTGGGCCTCAGACAGTTCCTGAAATGGCCAAGCCCCTCTCGCCTCAGGGCCTTTGCACGTCCTCTTACCTCTGTCTCCCTCCTGTCCTTCTTAGCCGCCTCCTCTGATAGGCCTTCCCTGACCGCCCTCGGCCCAATTGGTCCCGACCCCCACGCTCGTCTATCTCTGCCTCTTCTGTGACTCTTTCAGACGACAGCACTGTGTAAATGCTGTGATTCTCCGTCACTCAGTTTGTTTTGTCAATCTCACCGGGTTCCATGAGAACAGAGTGTGGCTGCCTCGTTCACAACCATACTCCCTCCCCCTGGCCCAGAGCTTGGTGCTTACTAGGCCCTCAGTAAATATTTTGTTGGATGGATGGATGGATGGATGGGTGGATCGATGGATCGATGGATGGATGGATCGATCGATCGATCGACTGCCCAAACAGTGAAGGCTTTAAGGAGAGCCTGAGGAACATCAGAAGACACCATCCTCAGGCTGGTACTGACTCGAGGGAGGGAAGGGAGGCCTGTGTTGTGACTTTGTGTGTCTCCCCGACAGGGTCCCTCTCTGCAGTGGCTCCAGCATCACTGAAATCATCAACCCCAGCTACATGGGGGTGGGGCCCTTCACGCACATGAAACAGGCCCTGTCCCCTGAGCAGCAGCCCACAGCCTGGAGCTATGACCAGCCATTCAAGGACCCCTCCCTGGGACCTGGAAGGGGGGAGAGCCCTCCAACACCACCCTCCCAACCACCCATATCACCCAAGAAGTTTTCACCCGCGACAACAAGCCGGAGCCCCTGCCCCAGGACGCAGGAGTCAAGGTAGGCGTGCTCTTTCCAAGACCTCTCCCTTCTCTGGGTTTTTACTCCTGGGAGACCCAGCCCTGGAATGGAAGCT